GTTGCCGTAGTGTCACATTGTATGCATGGTCCAGCTGGCCATGTGTTTCAGTAGCATACGGCTAAGCCATTAACCCCAGATTTAAAACTTGCCTTGCAGTCCTATAGTAAGTGGTTTCAAATCCTCTGTTTCTCTTTAGTAAAAATTTATTGGAATATAGGATTTACCTGCAAGGAGTTGAGAAAATTGCTGAAATGTGCCCATACAGCTCTCTCGTCTTCTGGAAGTCTGAGAGCCTCTTTCAACTCCTTGGCTGATTTTCCCCTTGCACCTTCCAGAACCATTGATAATGAACCCTTCACACTGGCTGGTGAGAACAGCAAGTTGCCCTGCTGAGAAGTGGCCAGCGACTGCAAAATGATAAAACAAAATTTTCATTTACATGATGCAAGTGAGGGGCTCTGTATAGGATATTGGTCTAAAGAATAATGTTAATTAGAATGGCTGACATGCAAGATCCACCGTAAACATACATAGTAGCAAATTAATTTAATCTCTTACTGAATTCTGATTTGTTAGAGAAATACAAAGTATTTTCAAATTGGCAAATATAATTGTTTTAATTGTTCTAGCATAGTTATGGAAGTCCACAGTTTGTTGAAGTCTGGTATGAGCAAAAGAAGCTTAAAAAGCTGATCATCAGACTGTAAAGATATACCTTATGGTGCTTTGTTGGTCGAAAATGTAAACAGCAGGTTCCTTTTAAAGTTTCCCCAGTTACCATATTAATAACTTTATACAGTAACTAAAATTTTAAGAAACGAGACAAAATCACTAGGATTATTTATCATGTTATTCAGGTTTAATTGAAATGCCATTGATTTATCCTGAATTTGACTGCAGTTTTTCACGCCTACAATTTAATTAAAATCCCCAGAAAAATTTAAACAGTGTTTACTCTTCAAAGCGATGGTTCTATACATTGTCATTATTTGCATATAGGATGCGCGCGCCATTTAGTGCGATAAATATGTAGCCGAGGCAGATTTGTATATCAATTTACAGGTTTTCCTTTCGGTAGTTCGCCATGTTGTTTCTCCCCACTATTGTTATCTTCAGTCCTCTTTCGCGCTGGACAGAGACCATCATAAAAGTAACAGGGCAGTATTCGGTATGTCGGAAGAGAATTGTTACGGAATCTGCATTTGTTGTCGTGTCACCTCCGTCACCGGCGATGAAATTTACCTTTAGAAGTTCTAGGTCAAAGAAGTTGAATCGGTCTCTACTCTCTGCTTCATCTTTTTCTCTGAGGCTAGCGAACTGGGCTGACGATAGTTGAACTATTAAGCTCAGAATTACTGCACCTAAAAAGTAAATAATGACCGCATTTAAAATTATTGTTTATCTTCTCTTTGTAAGTTAACACTGGTTTGTGTAGTATCGAATGGGCTGGGTTGTAATACGTGGGAAGGATGTGGAGCCTGGAGACACCTCGGGTTATGTCTGTTTCCGAGCCGAGGTTTAAAATATGTTCGCCCCGGTACACCATAGAGGAACACTGACCTCTGAATCGCGACGTTCCTTTGTTTAAGTTTGCTTCTTCGGTGTTTCTGGGGGAAAACAATTAAATGAACTGTAACTGTAACTGTTATTAAAGTATTCACTAGGTTGTGTTCTTATGCACACATCTTGGAAGCATCCAGTCTTGGGACGAGGTTCAGACCTGGGTTCTGTGGAATACAGAGCAGGTCGTTGACTACTACAACCGTGACGTTAGGTAGACAACTTTGTCGAGCATTTTTTTGCTGAGAGTTTAATAGCATCTTTGGTTTGGAGCCCGCCACCTGTACCTATCCTGAGCCACATAAATCCAGTCAATATCCTTTCTCACACGCTATTTCTGTAAGATCTGTTTTAATATTATCGTTCCGTCTAGGTCACCCAAGTTGTAATATCGCTTTAGGTTTTTTGAATATGAATAAAGTATTATTTTACTAATAACTGCACTGTTTCACGGTGGTAAGCTGGTTGCAAGGTTGAGAATTAGTCATCATGATGATAGAAATTAAAACAGGTATTTGCACTGAGATCACATCTTTGTGGGAGGATGGTTCTGATTTTCTAAATGAGTAAATATGACAGCTGTGCAGTAGGCTACTCACATTGGTCCATTAATTCATCTTCTGTTTAATTTCGAGCGCCAGTGATATTTTAAGTTTCTTGTAGTCATGTGTCCACATGATTCTGGTATCATTAAAATAAGACTGGATGAAATGTAGCGGACTGTATAGTTTGCTTCTCTTTAGAAACATTAGGAATGGCTTCATAAAATATTGAAGATCTCCATTCCGCAAATGTTCGTCTGTGTCTATACAGAATATTTTAAAACCTTGAGATGTCTCTAAGGCCTTGTGTAATTACAGAGCTTGCCTTGGTGTGTAGCCTTCGCGCCACGCTCTGCAACTCTTCTCTGTTTATTTTCAATAAACACACACACGTTTTGTGTGTTTGCCTGCTGTCGTTTGGGATGTCTTCTTATTTTACAAAGTTTTTTGGGAGGATGAAATGGGCACGCCATGGCGGTGTGTAGATCATTGCTGGCTCCTGGGTTGTAGTCTAGTATAGAAGTTTACCGACGTTTCACAGGTTCTTGCTGCCCTGATGAAGGAAGCAACCAGGAACTCTGAAACGTCGGGAAACTTCTGTACCAGACTACAACGGCGCTACAACCCAGACGACAGCCATTTTTGTGTTAATAGAAGGGAATAAATTTCTTGGGGTATAGGCGTAGGTGGAAAGATAATATTAAGATGATTTTTTTAAGAAGTGGGGTGTGGATTGGATTCATCTCGTTCGCGATAGAGACCAATACTGGGCTCTTGTTTAAACAGGAATGGCATAAAATACGGGGAATTTCTGGACTGGCTGAGCGACTGTCAGCATCTCAGGAAGGAGTCTGCGTCCTGAGGTTTTGCGCTCATTACATTCTGTTACAAGTGGGGGGGGATGTGGACTACTCTTTAGTTCTTCGTTGTGTTCGACAGCTTTTAAGTTTCTTTGTGATGTCAGTCCTCTGATACGGGAAACTTTATGAAGCGTAGTCCGATTGCTTTAATCGTTTTCAAATGTTCCATCCGTTGTTATTCTGTAACGTGCCTGGCCACTGGGTGTGTGATCGGGGGTTTGATTCCGAGAAGGGCAGGGATAGTTTTCTGTTCTTCCTCCGAGGCCGACTGTGTTGTCCAGCAGTAACTCCAGAACTTGAATGCACGTGGGAACACTTTGTCGTCGTCACCATCTCCATATTCGTCGAGTGAAAGGAACTTGTCAAAGCGCTACATTCATGCATCATTTCGAGTGCCAGTGGGGAAAACCTTGTGGGTCCGCGCTAATTACGTCCACACACACAGTAATTCTATCCAGCGTCGAATACCGGTAGCTATTTTAACGTTTCTTGTAGAAAATTGTTTTGCATTTTATGCAACATGGCTGTGAAGATACGCCCATTTTAAAAATCATTTGTAAAATTGAATTATTACCTCTTGATAGTGCACCAACAAGTTTCAAGGACAATTGTAACTGTAATACGGAGTAAAACGCTGCAGATTTGTGTAATGATTTAACCGCAGTTTACAAATAAAGCAGTTTAACTCAATGGAGTGTAGTCCTTGAAGAGTTAACAGTACCTCATCAGGTTAATAAATTAACTGTCTGTAACCCTGACGTTTATCCTTACCCTAAGCTAGATAAATCCAGTTCTTTGGAGTCACTTTAATATTATATATGTCTGCGCCTAAATATCTCAAGTAGTCTCTTCCATTCACGTTTTACTACGTACTACAACCCCGCCCATTTCATCCTATTTGGTTTGATGACCCCGATAATATTTGGTGTAGTGAAACTCGTCATTGTTCAGTTTTCTGCACCCCCTGTAACTTTACCCTTATGAGGTCCGTACGTCGTACTCAGCATCCATTTTTCAAGAATTCTCAGTCCCTTGGCCTTCCCTTGAGGTCAGAGGCCATTATTTTTATCGACGCAAAACAGTTTAAAGTAATGGTTTATGTGTTTTATAATATTTCTATACTTATTTTTAGATAGGAGGCTGGAAGACAGAAGATTCTGAAATAAATGGTAGTTAGTATTTCCTGCAAGTTGCTTATGAAATGTGCTGCCTGAGGATTACATCCATAAAGCTTTCATGACCTCGTTACGTGTCCAGTTGAAGGATACGTCAGCGCAATCTCTTGAGAAATTCTAGTATCAAAGATCGGCAACTCATTTATGTTTGTTCTTCAGCCAGTTGTGCGTTATTCTGGGAAATGCGATATTTTACAGGAAGTGTGTGGTCAGAGTTGACAGGGGAGAGTAACTGAGCTTTTGGCTAGCCTTGGTAACCCCCCCCCCAAATAATAGAGATTCTTTGGGATGAGTGGTATTAGATATGCATGCCTCTGATTTCCCCTAGCTTTTATACACTCAGGTTATACATATGTGTGATTTGAGGTCCTGACGGCGGTGAAGATGTTCTTCTGGGTTTTGACTCGTCGTTAGATGAAACAATGTCTCTCTCTATCTTCAGCTCTGAAGATGGAGACATTATGTCCATCAATTTTTTCACCCTGTCTGAATGCCAAGGGCAACAAATAACCGACGTAAATTGAATAAAATATGAAGGGAAGAGTTTATTTTTGAGTCTGGCTAACAAAGATGGAGAGTATTTGGACCACAGAGATACAAACTAGCAGAGAAAATTACAAAATGAGAAGTTATTGGGTTTACATTCTTCATCTAGTATCGTTGGAGTAGTTTTAGTCGACAAATCAGAAAGGAAAAGACGGAATTATAATCTTAAAATAAATACCGAAGAAATAAGGCGAGACAGTGGGGATTGGATTTATCTGACTCGGGATAGGGGCTTTTATCACTAGCTTCTTTCTATGGATCCTGCTTTATGGTGTTTAATTAGTATTTGGATAAGTCAAGTGACCAACTTCCATCGTGGCAAGTTTTCCAACACTTGTCATCCTTGTTTTGTCAGTGTTTTTTTAACAAGTGTTGCAATTCTACCCTGGGCAAATTACTGTTGCGATGGGGTGAGGCAACGTCTGTGTATACCTGAGGGATTGTCCATCTCCCAGATTACATGTGAGTGAATATGGAACAACGGCGGAATGATATTTCCAGGGGAAAACCGAAGGACGCGGAGAAAAAACCTGTCCCATTACCACTTCGTCCGCTACAGATCTCACCTGGGCGCTAAGCCGGGCCTCCGCGATGGCAAGCCGGCAAGTTTAGATATAGATTATCTGTTATATAATGGCGGTTCACCAGTGCCCGGATTAAAAATGCCCGGAGTTTAATAATAATAATTCCCGCTTACATCCCTGTTTGGAATGCAGAAGCTGTACCTCTCCGGTCTTGTTGTTTCAAGAGAGGAAACTACAATTTCCTTGTGCGTTGCCCACGAGGTAATCTGCTGAAGCCAGTGAGCTGATAGAAGCATCAGGCTTTTTTCTCTTGCCATGTAGGCATTTTGCAACGTCACTGTCAATCAGTGACTCATTCCACGATTCTCATTATGTCCGCGACTTAACAATTTGAAGGTGGAGCCACATTCCGTTGCTTGAAGCACTCTTAGACCAATTGAATACCGAGTAGCAAGAGGTAGCGCCGTTCTTAGCATGTCGAGTCATAACTTTACCTTCTCATTGGTTTCCTCAGTCTCTCCAAGCAAATGCGAGGACATTACCTCAAATTAGGCAACGGGCGTTTTGATGTCATTTCCAATTCATTAATCGTTGCCTGAAGCCTTACGACATAAATAGCATGCCTGGAGGTGGCTTAAATAGTGAGTGGTGAGTCTTCGGTACAAGAACAATGCATGCATCCTCGACGTGCATTGAGTGTTTCATGAAACGTATGTACGTACCTCTGTGCGGAATTACCAGATGGAGGAAGAGAGTACAGTGTTTGTTTGTTTTTTGGTATTTTTTTACCGGCTCGTTCAAGGACTGAGACGTTCTCTGGATGGTTTATATCCAAGTGGCCATTATTACGCGTGTTTGCACGTGATGTGATCATAAATGAACTGGGGCGGAAGCTTTATGCGGGTCCTCAAACACTGGGCTTGTCGTTCTAAAAACTACCTGGGTTATTGGGTTGGGCGCACATACTTCGTTCGCGTTCAAAAATTATTTCCCTAAGATCCAGTTGATATCCTCTCATTTACGCCTGTGACATCCAAGAGGTCATTTCTTCCCTTCTTAAGCTTTTCCAACAAACATTTTGTGTGCATTTCTTAGATCTCCTATGAGTGCTATACACTGGCAATATGAACCTCCTTGATTTGGTGGTCACTTCACTGTCCAGTAGGCGTAAAGAGGGAATTGACGTAGTATATGCGTAGACATATAAATGTAAGTATTGATAAGGAAAAGCCAATTCTTACTACATATATACGTTTACTAAAATCAGCATTAATTAATTAGAAATTAATTGTAATTGAAATATTCTATACTGTGTTTTTATTGTGAGATAAAAGAAAAAAGTATTGAACTTTGAAAAATGCTCTTTGGGGCGATATATTACTCGTGTAAGTCGTATTTTCGTTTTACGAAGTATTCATTAAACATGTCGACAAGGTGTTATTTTTCGCAAATGCGTTAACGCGAAAATTCCTTAGTTTGAAAGGTCCTCAGTAATTGAATTCGTGAATTTAGTTTCGGAAACAAGCCGACAGCGCTACGCTGGAGCTGGAACTCCGAATATGGGCATCTGAAGAGTAAGATGGCACCTGTTGACCGACAGCGCTACGCTAGAGCTGGAACTCCGAATATGGTCATCTGAAGAGTAAGATGGCACCTGTTGTGATGTGTCCTCACCTTTTTTGGATTCATTATTTTTTTAAGGCTTAAGACTGGGGAATCCCCGGCAACTGTCTTGTGGTCAATAATTGTTTTGTGTACTACCTGTCTTGCTGCTTTTGTTCGGTTTATGCAGTGCTGATGGCGTTATGTAGCCAATGTTAGTGAAGCTTGCAGACGTATTATCAACATTCACTTTTTTTCCCCTCTGTTAAACAAGTTGAAGGGTCATACCATGGTCGTGGTTTGGTCCACAGCCGCGACATATCCTTATGGTGTGTACCATAACTGCGTTTTTCATTGTGTTCCACAAAGCATGTCTGATTTCCCCCTCCCCCCAGTTTGATCAATTCGTAGGCGTGACCGTACATGGGTCGTTGAAATAGAAATGTATCTTGGGGGGGTGGGATTGGACTCATCTGACTCCGTATAGGGACCGTTGGACAGCGGCTCTTGTTGTGAACATGGTAATGAGCATTCATGTTTCATGGAAGGTGGTGGGGAATTTTTTTTAAAACTAGCTGAAGTTCGAAGCCCATTTTGAGAAGTTAAATTTGCCTTTCTGCCTACTCCTAGGTCTTTCGCCATTTTAGGAATCCTGTCTTTCTTCATCGTCGCCTGATTGCTCCTGATACGTTTGTAACGTTCTGAAATCTGAAGTTCTTAATGGAAGTGAAGATGTCCATTCTGATCATCTGGATTGTAACTCCGTTTGGGCTTTGGAGAAACGTATAGCTTCCATCTTCAGGGTAGAGGACCACGATCGAAATATCCACTGCTGTAAAGACCTCAGTTCTCATATAACAATCTCAAATTTTTTTGTTCGTACTGTTACTGCGTGGTTTAAACAATAAAGCGAACTATAAGACCGGGGTTCTGTTCCCAACAGGGGCAGGATTTTTTTTTCTATTCCACGGCTGTATCCAAACCGGCCCTGGTGTCTCCCCGCTTCCTATGCATTGGGTTACTGGAGTTAAAGCGGCTGGAACGTGAAGCTGAACACTTTCTGTTCAGTCCATAGGTTAAAAATTCGTGAAGCGTTAAGAATATCTTTGTTATATTTGTAAGGGTTTTATAGAAAGTCAGTGAAGCCTGGATTACCTGCATGCAGAAATGTTTATCGGCATTTTGAAAAATTGTGGCGTGTTACAAATATCGGAAAACCCACTTTTATAGCTCTTAGCAGAAGGCACCTGCAGATTAGAAGTAAACTGGTTGAGAATGCAATAATAGTGACGAAATCCCTGCCTTGTATGAAACCCGAAGGTTAATTACTGTGTTCATAATAGCTTCGCCACCGGTCTCTCACAGAGCCACTCATTCCAGTCGACTGTTTCCGTAGTATTCACTTTAATATTATCTTCTAATCTACGCATAGGTCTCACAAGTTGTATTCTCCATTCGGGATGTCTCACTAAAAAATTTTGTGTGCACGGTCTGTTTCTCGCGAGCTTGGGCGTGAGAATCTTACAAATGGAACAGAGTGACAGAATTTAGGAACGGTCTTTGATGTCAGTGCTGGTCTCAGGCTTCACAGCATGTCTGTTTTCAGTCACAGATTATAAAGTAGCGTGATAAATAACAATTTCAAAGAGGAAGATCAAGGTAGAAGCAACGGACAACTCACGAAAATCGTACTGACTTGTCAGTCACGTGACAGGAAGCAATTAGCCCGGTTTACTTTCCGAAAACTTGACAGAACTAGAATGACCACAAGTGACCAGGCTTAACCAGAAAGTTTCATTCAGAAACTTAACGAAATAAACGAATGACGCAAGGAGCAACATGAGGTTTTCTTAGAATGCTACTATGTGGCACTGGACTGATGTTATGTTTTAATAATATTTTGTCTTTAAAATTTGAAATTTACTGATCAGTTTGTAACGCTCTGAATAATTGTTCTTCTCTGAGGAATGAGTTTCTGATAAATTCGATGATTGGGGGAAAAGGGAAACTTTTTAAAGTTATGTAAAATTTGAGGTTTTCACAGCGGTGAGTATGAAGATTTCTGTCTTCTGGGTTGTGGCGCTGTGTAGTCTGATATTCGCCCTGATGACGGAGGCAGTATGACCTCCGAAACGTTGGTAAACATCGACCAGACTACACGGCGCAACAACCCAGAAGACAGAAATCTTTTTAAACTTATAAATATAACACTGCGTTTATTTTTTTGTTAATAAAAAGTAAGTAGTAACAGTTGATTTATAAATCTTATGCCGAAGAGAGATGTTTATGTGTCCACATTGCGTGTAATGTCGCGTGTGGAAACTGTACTCCAGTGTGCCTGTAGCATTGTTTTGACTAACATCATGTTGCAGCCATTACCTAGTGCAATTTGTTCGTAGGTAGAAATTTCATGAACCCTTTTGTTATCACGCTATTATTTTAACAGTTCTCTGAAATAGTTAAGCGTTAATATTTGCATTACCGCAGTCTATTAGACATCCTGTTAAATAAATATTGACGCATGTGTGTCTATGTGTATAAAAATCAGCAGTTACTTCCTAACCTCGCGGTTCAAGA